CCCCCCTTTCCCCTTGTTTTCTCAATAGGGTAAAGAGGGGAAAGAAGATAAACTAACCCTTGTGGGTGAAACAAAAGCAGTTTTAATATAAGCAAAGCAAAGCAAAAGTCCGCGCGTGGAAGCAAAAGCAAACAGATTTAGTCTCTACTTCCTATGGACAGGCTCTGTGGGGCCTTCTCAGGATGCAGGGGGCTCCAATACGCGTAGTGGTTCCTCGGAGGACCAAGGGTGACCCCACCCCCTTCCTCCTTTCTCCCAGCTTTATACTGAGCAAACGTCGTATGGTCTGGAATATCCCTTTGGTCAGTTCGGGTCAGTGTCCTGGCTGTGTCCCCTCCCAAGATCTTGCCCACCCCATCCCACTGGGGGAAATATCAGAAAGAGCCTTGGTGCTGTGTAAGCACTGCTCAGCAGCAGCCACAACACCAGGGTGATATCAACACCCTGCCAGCTCCCAGCATAATACACAGCACCGTGAGGGCTGCTGTAGGGAAAAACCAATTCCAGTTCAGCCAGACCCAGTACACCAGGAAATTGAACTACAGATATCTTAGCGGTCAATACTTCACTCTTAATCCACAGGGGAAAAGGGTTAAAAAGCTTTTACTTTAATGAGCAGGCACCTTTTATAGGACAAAAGAAAAAATTCTTACCAGGATTAACATTTTGAATATGTTTTTTTGATCCATTAGAAGGTCATGACATCACCACCACTACCTGCACACTAAGCAAAATAAATGACCTGAGTCTTCATCAATATGCTACCAGTGATTTTAACAGTAATCTGAACATAGGTGGCAGCACGTAATTCCTGTGTGTTCAAACATTAAAGCTTAATTCGCTTCACCCATGTGACTTTCTCACTTTTATGTGCTGAGATGATGCTCTTGATTACTGAGATAATACCCAGACAGCAAGGGACTAAATCAGCTCCACTGGTTAGCATCCGTTACATATATGTGTGTGTGTGTTGCATACAAACACACAGTCTGTTCAAATGTGTATGCTCATAAAACATGGGGTATGGAATATCTATTCTTGTTAATGCATTACAAATGAGTAAACGTGCATTAAGACTAATTGAAACCTCTTATGCCTTTCAAAATTAATTATTTTAAACTCCTCAACCTGAAACACAGAGATCACTTTCCAGTGCAGCACAATAGAGAAGATGACTTCTTAATACATTGGGACTGATTGGCTAAACACTGTTTAATTCATCTCTATACCCTTAAACTTAGATTTTTGTGTCTGCTGAACACTGTTATTTAAATTATTCAAAGTAGATAAAACTCAAGAATCTCCATACTGCTAACACTACTAAAAACAGCTCCTGTTCTCAAAATTCTGTTCAGTCACAGAGGTAGAAAGATTACATAGCTAAAACCCAGCCATTTAGCAAGCTGGGTTCTTCCATCAAAAAATACTGAAAAAGAATCTTGACATTAACGATTACTTTTAAGAATGTATTAAATTTGGTGCAAAACTCCCAGATTGTCCCAAGAAACAATTTTTACATTAAATAATAACTGAAGGAACCCATATTCTGATAAAAAGTTTTCATCATTCCATACTAATTTTTATGCTAGAGAAATATAATGAAATTTACTTTAATAGTACCAACAAGCTTCAGAGAGACATGGCAAGTGTTGAGGAGAATTACCACTGCAGGCACCTTCTGTCATCTACTTTTTGCCTAGTTAGTTATAAGGTAAACATGACTTTTATATTTTAAATACATTGGTCTTGTTTACTTTGCTTAACAATAGTAAATCATACACAATACAAAAGGAGACTAAAAGCTGAAGAAATAAAAGCATTACTGAGTCATTAAGGCTTTTATATAGCATTTAATACAGCAGAGAAAGGGGATGATTAAGTTAATTTAACAGCTTGCGATCTACTTCATTTACACAGGATATGTAGACAAAAATGTCCACCTCACAAGAGCTGCTGGATCAAGTTTCACCTTCTGTTGCAGTAGGGCAAAACAGAGAGCAACTCCCTTGTTTCAGCACATAAATACATGGGAAGAATAAAACAAAATCAAGCCTACTAACTATAATATGTTGGGTAGAAAAACTCCAGCTAAGCAGAACAGCACAGGCTGTGTGCAAAAATAACAGGGAAAAAACAGAATTAATGACTGAAGTAGGCTGCTGGCAGAAGGAGCACATTGCCATTTACAAAGGTTCACCATTTGACATGCCAAAGTTGTGTATATGATTACATAGATGACTCTTTAATTGTAAGTGCTTACTTCATGTATGAAAATAGATGATAAAAATATAGAATTAGGTACACACAAACGCATGGTATATCAAAATAATTTCTACAATTTTATACTACACACTAGAAACCTAAACTCAGCATTTGTTGTCTAGGCTAGTAAGCTTTCTCCTTTGAAGGCCAGCTAATGCCTTCTGATATCAGTGTAATATAAATAAGCATGCACACAACCAGGCACTTCAATAGAAGAAAAGATAGTCCTAATGACAACTGGTGGAGCAAAACACATATTACTCAAATACTTGCTGATAGGATTCAAGAGTGCTCAAGGCCATCTGATGCTTAGGGCCACATGATAAATCAGCAGAGACCTAACCTAGCTAATTGTCTCCCTTGATTGTGATGGTTCTGATTAGAATACTCAGCACTCAGCAGCCCTTTGGCAAAAATGCCAACCAGGGCTTTTTGTTTGTTTGTTTGTTTGATGATGATGCACTATAGAATGAATGCCAGATCACATCATTAAACCACTCTTCCAAATATTAAAGGGGTTCCTATATGAACAAAGCCAATGATTCCCTTCTTAATTACTTTGAACGTTCTCTTTGTCTTTTGAGATTGCACTCATATACACTAAAAAAGTGCTGATCTCCAGTTTTTCTTGGATATGGAGAACCAGTCACAATTTGTGACTAAAAAAAAAAAAAAGAGAGCTGTGAAATTCCAGCCACCCCTGGATCAGCAAGTTTATCTAACATTAAATT